GACATAAACAATAAATGTCTGCTTCTACTCTTTACTGTCTAATGTACCATTGAATCTTCATAGTTCATTCTTGATAGTTCATAGTATTAGACATCAAGCATACGGCATAAAGTGTTTAGATTAAATTGAACGGATTTGTTTTAAGCAGAAACTGTTTGAATAGTAGATGAGATCCTAAGTTTAGAAAGTGTTTAGTAATTTCCTCTTAAGTAGGCGTTTACATTTATCAATACCCTCACGTTTTACGATAGTGGTGGCAATCTATGGGCCTTGGAGCTACGCCTGAAATGGTTTATCTCCACCTCAAATCTTACCACAGCCACCTCTAATACAATCTTACTCATCCAAGCTGCTACTCAAAACTGTGTTGGGGGCTTGTGTTCTCTAGAGCATAGTGTAGCAAGGGACCTCCAGGAACGGTTTAATGTGTTAACTATCCCCAGGAATAAGATCAATACCCCTGTCCACCGGGGCCCGTCCTCCGCTTGCCCAGCACCAAATACCTGACGTGCCGGGGAACGCCAGACACAATGCAGAGCCCAAACTCTGCATCCAAACGCACTTCCTGACCAAGGGCCTAAGTGACCTCAGGACTCAATGAGAATACTCATCAGTAGTGACAATAGGAGAATATGACGTCACTTGGGTTATGTTTTCCCATAAGAAATAACATGGGATCATTTTTTGGCCACTAAAACCAAAAATCCTGATCCCATGTTATTCTTATGGGAAAAAACATGGGGATCATTTTTTGGCCACTAAAACCAAAAATCCTGATCTTTGCCTAAATATCCCTATATAATTGTCAAACCTTATTTCTTACTTATTCCCTATAAATATATTCTATATTAAGCTAAAAAAATATTTCTTATATTTATTTACCCTTACAAGTGTAAATGTAGAGTAGTGACAATAGGAGAATATGACGTCACTTGGGGCATGTTTTTCCCATGTTATTCTTATAGGGATCATTTTTTGGTCACTTTTTAAAAATCCTGCTCTCAGCCTGTACACCCCTATATAAATGTTCAATACCATTGTACAACTCCATTACTATTTCAAATCCACATCCATTCACATGTATATTCTCAAAATCATCAACTTGACAGTGTGAGGTTTGTGCGCGAACTCGGGCGCGCTCCCGGCTCATGGCGCGCGCTCCCTTGGACATCCTTAGTGGATATCCATGAATTCTGACTACTTGGGAACCCAAGCCATTTGACATACAATAAATCACCCTTTCTCCTAATTACATTTTCTACTAAATACATGTCGTTATACTTGGTCTTTAACAACTCCTCTGTATAGAATCCTCCTCTGATTATAATACCATTTTCATCTTTCAAGATATAAGTCACAGGCTTTGTATTCTTAACTTCTGCTATTGTAAATAGCTCCCCTGTCCAATTCGGGGTATATCTTTTACTAAAAACATGTTTATACTTTGAAATTCTCACGCTATCACCTACCTTATATATTGGCTTTTCAACTTGTACTACTTTAGAAGTCAACCTCTCATGCACATATTTACTATTCTTAATATTCACTTGGTTAGGCTTCATACCTTTAGATCTATGCACCTTATTATTATATTTTCGAATTAACTTTGGAAGTAAATCCAACCATTTATAACTCCCCTGAGCACTAAATTCCCTATATAACCAATTCTTTTTCCTACAGTTACCTAACAATGTACATGTTCTCTCACTGATTTGAGAAAGCAAAGTGGCCAATTCGCTCATCAGTGAGACAATGTTAACATTGTCTCACTCTAATTACTTTGTCTCACTCCAGATTTGCAACGTGAAGGCACGAAATAGTGAGCGCGTAACACGCAGGCAACGTCATATGCGCGCTAAATGCGTTGGCAGCACTGGCTGTAAATCAGCTGGTCAGCTGTTGTACTGTTGTATTTGTCTCTTCACATTAAATGTTTTATTAAAAGTTCACTTCTGTGTAAAATAGGTTATGTTTCTTCACAAATTTATTTGTTCTATGGTAACAGTAGGAAAAGTATAATGTGCAACTCGAGTTCAAAGTACAATTGCCTCACTCGAGAAACCATTCCTCACTCGCCTACGGCTCGTGAGTAAGGATTTCTCTCGAGTGAGTCAATTGCTCACTTTTCTCACTAGTTGCACAAATAACTATTCCATTGTCAGATTGAATGTTTTTAACCCCCTTTGGTAGAATGGTTTTAATGGCTTCTGTAACTACCAACCCTGTCTTATTTTTTAGCGGAGCAGCATAAGCTTTTTTAGAAAATGTAAATCTATAATTGCAATTATTATTTAGCCTTTCAGTAGTGGTAATATGATGGTATGACCCCACTTTAGGCGTTTTTCCCCATAAGAATAACATGGGGATAATTTTTTGGCCAGCAATTCCAAAAATCCTGATCTTTGCCCTCATATCCCTATATAATTGTCAAACCTTATTTCTTACTTATTCCCCATAAATATATTCGATATCAAGCTAAAACAGCTATTTCTTACATTTATTGACCATTACAGGTGTAAATGTAAAGTAGTGGCGAACTAGCAAAGAGACCCCACTTTAAGCACGTTGTCTATTATGAAAAAGCCATATTTAGTTTTATCCAAACTTTAGAGGAAGAGATCGCTAAATTGGTTAAATGAAACGTCATTACCAACATGATTGTGATACACATGTTTTAAAACTTAAATCGTCTTGTTTGGATAATATTAGGAAATTTACATTATCACATAAATGTTTGTGTACTTTGCTGCAAGATTTACACAAGTAAAAACAGTCAATATTTTTATGTCGACCTTTTGAAAAAAATGGTGTAATATTTGGACTATTCATATCATCAAATACAACAACTAACTGTGACTGTGATGTAAATTCGTGTGTACTTTATCACACACATTTCACACAACTTTTATAAATTTCACACAAATTTTACACAATTTGTGAAACTATGACAAAACTTTCACATGAATTGTGAATTTCACTGTGACTGTGATGTGAATTCGTGTGTACTTTCTCACACATATTTCACAAAGTTTTTATAAATTTGACACAATTTTCACACAATTTGACACAATTTTACACGATTTGACACAACTTATGTAAAATGTGTGTCAAATCGTGTAAAATTGTGTCAAATTGTGTGAAAATTGTGTCAAATTTATAAACATTTTGTGAAATATGTGTGAGAAAGTACACACGAATTCACATCACAGTCACAGTGAAATTCACAATTCATGTGAAATTTTTGTCATAGTTTCACAAATTGTGTAAAATTTGTGTGAAATTTATAAAAGTTGTGTGAAATGTGTGTGATAAAGTACACACGAATTTACATCACAGTCACAGTGACAAACAGTGGTAAAAAATCTGGCAATGGATATATTTTAACTTTAATAGATACATTTTCTAAAAAAGCTTATGCTGCTCCGCTAAAAAATAAGACAGGGTTGGTAGTTACAGAAGCCATTAAAACCATTCTACCAAAGGGGGTTAAAAACATTCAATCTGACAATGGAAAAGAATTTTTTAATCAATATTTTAGCAAACTAATGAAAAAGTTAAATATTAATCACTATCACACATTTTTACAACTAAGGCTGCAATTAATTGTAGAGAGGTTTCAGAGAACTTTAAAGAATTGGTTATATAGGGAATTTAGTGCTCAGGGGAGTTATAAATGGTTGGATTTACTTCCAAAGTTAATTCGAAAATATAATAATAAGGTGCATAGATCTAAAGGTATGAAGCCTAACCAAGTGAATATTAAGAATAGTAAATATGTGCATGAGAGGTTGACTTCTAAAGTAGTACAAGTTGAAAAGCCAATATATAAGGTAGGTGATAGCGTGAGAATTTCAAAGTATAAACATGTTTTTAGTAAAAGATATACCCCGAATTGGACAGGGGAGCTATTTACAATAGCAGAAGTTAAGAATACAAAGCCTGTGACTTATATCTTGAAAGATGAAAATGGTATTATAATCAGAGGAGGATTCTATACAGAGGAGTTGTTAAAGACCAAGTATAACGACATGTATTTAGTAGAAAATGTAATTAGGAGAAAGGGTGATTTATTGTATGTCAAATGGCTTGGGTTCCCAAGTAGTCAGAATTCATGGATTACCGCTAAGGATGTCCAAGGCAGCGCGCCATGAGCCGGGAGCGCGCCCGAGTTCGCGCACAAACCTCGCACTGTCAAGTTGATGATTTTGAGAATATACATGTGAATAGATGTGGATTTGAAATAGTAATGGAGTTGTACAATGGTATTGAACATTTATATAGGGGTGTACAGGCTGAGAGCAGGATTTTTAAAAAAGTGGCCAAAAAATGATTCCCATAAGAATAACATGGGAAAAACGTGCCCCAAGTGACGTCATACTCTCCTATTGTCACTACTCTACATTTACACTTGTAAGGGTCAATAAATATAAGAAATAGCTTTTTTAGCTTAACATAGAATATATTTATAGGGAATAAGTAAGAAATAAGGTTTGACAATTATATAGGGATATTTAGGCAAAGATCAGGATTTTTGGTTTTAGTGGCCAAAAAATGATCCCCATGTTTTTTCCCATAAGAATAACATGGGATCAGGATTTTTGGTTTTAGTGGCCAAAAAATGATCCCATGTTATTTCTTATGGGAAAACGTGCCCCAAGTGACGTCATATTCTCCTATTGTCACTACTCTCATCGGCAGCGCATATCACCGCATCAACCCCTGCAACAAAACAGGGTCACTGCCAGTGACAGCGTCGGTTATCTTTTTACCAAACGATCTTTTTATTATCTTTTTGTTATCTTTTTACTATATTTTTTACATCTTTTTTATATAACGTAGTATTTCTTATATAACGTTCCACTTTCTGAGGCTGCTCAAGTCTGATTCCGTTGTGCGGTATTAGATATGTGACATCACTTCACGATTTAATTGACTTCGTATTCCCCGTTTGTTACCTGAACCATACAGATAGAATCGCAGGCCGGGCTATTCTTTCAACCATGAACGCCAATGTCCAGCAGATCAACAACACCGTTCTCAATCTGACGGTCGGTTTCGTTCATGAATTGAGAAGTGCTGATTCTGTGGACAAGGAGAACGATGACGGTATGAATGTGGACGTTCACTTGTTGAACCAGGCTACTGGCAAGGGCGTGCCAGACCATGTCCTGCGACTAAAGATTGGCTCCGTGTGTCTCGTCATGAGGAACCTGAACATTGACAGCGGACTCGTAAACGGCACTAAAGTGATCGTGACCGCTATTAGACCTCGTCTGATCACAGTGCGACTCCCTGGACAACATGATCCGATTTGTATTCCTCGGATTCAATTCGTTTTCCCGTTTGTCGAGGGGTCACCGCTTCGCGTCCGCCGTCTCCAGTTTCCTCTCATGCTGGCATACTCCATGACTGGCCACAAAAGCCAGGGCCAGACGATTGATCGCGTTGGAGTCGATCTTCGCAGTGACTGTTTCACGCATGGTCAACTGTACGTCCTTCTCAGTAGAGTCAGACATCCTGACGACATCGTTGTTCTGGTCACAACGAACAAAAGCTACAAACAAAACGCTACGAACAAAAGCCTGACAGGGTCCACGAAGGAGTAGCCTATGCAAAGAACGTTGTATACGACGAGCTCCTTCGTTAATTCCTACTTTGACTGAAGCAGTAGGCTAGGGGATCTGCTTAAACAAAACTCCCCGTCGTGATTTGACATCCATGGCAGTACAACAGGGGGGCTGCCTTAACAAAAGCCCCCGACCTTAAGTTTATTTTTGTGTGTTTTGTGTGGTTTTGTGTGGTTTTATGTGTTTAGTGTGTATTGTGTTACCGTTTGTGGTTCCGACGTTTCCCGGCCTCCCCGTGGCGGAACTGGATATGCCGTACAGTTTGTGGCTAACTGACAGGGAAACAAACATTACATAATTGATTTTCATGAATATTCATAGATATTTACTACCATCTTTTTATTTGAAATATTACTACTATAATCATTGTAAATATGGTTCCGACGTTTCCTGGCCTCCTCGTGGCGGAACTGGATATGCCATAAAGTTAATGGCTAACCGACAGGGAAGCAAACATTATTTGATCTATTTTCATAAATATATACATGAATATCTACTATAATCTATTTAATTCATATAATACTTTACTATTATCAACTTATTCACTTATCAATATACATACTTATCAGTCTACTTATCTATATGAATATCTACTATAATCTATTCAATTCATATAATACTTAACTATTATCAACTTATTCACTTATCAATCTACATACTTATCAATCTACTTAACTTACACAAAAGTTTAATAACTTGTACATTTGTAAATAATTGTAAATATGGTTCCAACGTTTCCTGGCCTCCTCGTGGCGGAACTGGATTTGCCATACAGTTTATGGCTAACTGACAGGAAAGCAAACATTACTTGATCTATTTTCATAAATATATACACGAATATTTACCATAAATCTACTTCATACAATACTTTACTGTTATCAACTTATTAACTTATCAATCTAATATATTCTTGGAATCGTTATTACTTTAATATTGATTTTCGCTATTACGATCCCAATTATCCTTATTTTATCACTTCGTTTGACCAATAACTCACTTGTACCTTACCTTCCTTACCATCTTATAATCGTACAGCATTTAAAAAAGTTATTTTCATTTATTTTGTTATTAGAGGGGGCTTTGAATTGGAGATCGGACTTAACTTACCTACCTCATCTGATATATTCATAAAATTGCTTGAATATCGACAATTTCACTTCCTGCTTTGTTACAACTAAACTCTTGTCTGCTAATTTTTTTTTATCAACTTTAAAAAAGATTGTTTATAAGGAGTTCTTTAAGGTGGAGCTTGAAATTAACTTACCAACCTCATCTAATGTATTCGTGAAATTGTTTAATATGAAGTAATATTGACTGTTTTTTGCCTGCTTTGCTACAACTTTATTACAACTCCAAACTACTGATGACGACTAACAGCTAGGGGGCCTGGGGGCTCCGCCCCCAGCGAGCCAAAGGCGAGTTTCTTATATAACGTTCCACTTTCTGCTTTGTTCCAACTAGACTCTTATCTACTATTTTTTTAAAAATAATTACGACTAATAGTAAGGGGGCCCGGGGGTGGAGCCCCCAGCGAGGTAAGTGTGAGTAACATTATTTAACACTATATCATCATTATAAAGATTCATTTAAAGAATACAAGAAAAAGGGAGCCTACATTTATCATAGTTTTAAAACAGAAATCAATCATAAGATTAGGTACACACAATTTCACTTGCTTGCATAAACAGTTAAAAAGGTTACAGCAGATAAATAGTTGTTAAAGTACAATATACAATATTTTACTTTTCAAATCAAAGTCAAAATAACTATTGATTAACCTATTCCCAAACTTTTTAAAGTTAGTAATATTATTGGACAGACATCTTTGTTCCATTACTCCATTTCTCTTGATACATTTTATGGAAGTGCAGATTTACAATAATAAAACCACCAATACTGGTACTGTAGAAAAATTCTAAATACTGATCGCCGATTCGTGTCCATGCAACGTAGAATATTATGTTACATTATACATACTCGGCCTACAATTTACAATTCTGTTTGAGAATGTCTTCACTGAACAGTACAGTTCTTCTCAAACAGGATCTTGGGGTGTTTGAGCGATGTGTAACCTATGTAACATAACACTTGGGTGATAAACAGTACAATAGGAGATTCACACACAACATAGGGTAGCTAATCGTTTCTACACACAAAGATGAAATGTGTACGCTATTTTATGATTGTATAGTACGGTTAAAATATGTATATAAAACGTTTATGGAACAAACAAACTCAATCATATTATTGCAAATTACCCCCACTACAGCAAACCTGCAAACAAAGCTAATTTTCATTTTCCTGATTTGATTTTACTTGTATTTAAATAACATTAGCTTTAATGAATATCTAGTTTTGCTGCTACGGATAGGGTAATAAATTGCGTTTTTAGTAAAATACTAGCTGGCCTGACAGACGTTGTCCTGTCCTAATGTGGTTATATGTCAAATACTGATTCATTTTCAAGATGAGCTCGTTCGCATCGCTCAATCACGTCCTGGTTGAAGTTCATTTGCTACGATTACTCACCTTTAGATTGGAGCTCATTCGCTGCGCTCACTTGCCTTCAGGTTAGCTCGTTCGCTACGCTAACTCGCCTCCAGGTTGAAGTTCGTTCACTACGCTCACTCACCTTTTGGTTGCAAATTAGCTGTTGTCATAAATGTATGGTGGTAAACCTATTAACTTTTTAATGCTATTGAACATCACAGAATCAAATTGTTTATTTGAACCAGCTGTTAAGATTCTGTAATTCCATTTAAATATGAGTACTCATAAGGTTAACAAGGGAAACTCCAGAGCCACTGAGGCGGAGCCCTTTTGACGGATCTGCACCAAACTTCACAAAAATCATCCTTGAATAACGCTTAATAATGCCTGAAAGTTGCATTACAATCTGTAGAGTGGTTTCGGAATCTATAACGTATACACATAAATAGTTCCTCTTTTATAGATATAGATTAGTAGCTTAGTATAATAAATAAACTTGTCCACGTTCCCTCAGAATATGTGGACCAACGAGAAAACTACAAAAGTTTACTTTTAAGCTCTTAAAAATAGTTTATAGAGAATAAATTAGAAAATGTTATGCTTTAGGGGTTAAAAATGGGAAAAACGATCTTTAATCCCACAAAACCCCCCATTAAACCATGTTCCAATCATGCTGGTTCGCGAACTCATTCAAGGTTATTTCGCCCTAAACATACAAGCCAAATCTCGAAAAAGTTTTACAAAAATTACTTAACCTATTACGTTTAAGGACACACACACACACACACACACACACACACACACACACACACACACACACACACACACACACACACACACACACACACACACACACACATACACACTGCTGCACTCACTCCGACACCAACAGGCGGCTGGTAGCCCTAGGGCCGTCAATGCTCTGTCCCTGTGGCGCAGAATCTGGAACAGCTCACATACGTGCTTGCATACAATCTTTCTTTCACTCTATCATAATAGATGATTCATAATATAATGATGAAATTAAATTAAATTAGGGGGTATTTTCCAATGGAACTAACTGAACTTGTTTCTGGCCTGTTCTTATAATTAATTACTTAATACTACATTTACATACTATATCATTTGCTAATACAATGTATTACGTAACCTCCATATTCCTGCGAGTATTGGGTCAGAGGTGAGAAATAGGTATCGAACTTGCTATTAAATAATTAACCTTAGCAGGAAAACCAGAAAATGCACCCTCGTCTCTGCACTTCTCATAAAAACTATGACAGAAACTGTTTGCACTGTAGGAGGCTGTTAGATTGCCCGAAGAAAAGCTTTAAGTAACATTTTGCACTGACATAGTATTTTTTGGTAATCCTAAATGTTGTTGCTACTGTCTTTCATTTCATAAATCTTCGTATAGTAGCATGCAAATATGTGGAACTTAATATCAGGGAATCGTCTTTTGGAAATTAAGTATTTTTGGAAGTCAAAAAGTATTTACCTCCATGGCTGGTTTTTGACTGGATTGAAGGTTTCAATAGGAGAATAGATTGCTGTGTTGAGCAATAGGGATCCATTGGGGTTTCTTTTATTAATTAAATTGCCTTTGAATTAAGATTTAATGCATTAGTTTAAGGGTATAAAGATTCGGATATGATGAATGACATAGGATAGATATTCAAGTTTTGAGGTTTAATTGAAAACCCTCAGAATTCACATACAAATGAATAAAAATTTCATTATAAATCCCCAATTAGTTTTACTATTAGTATAAAAATAAATTTTCAAAGGGGCAATATTGCCCAGTAATTTGTTAAATAGACACGCTGAGTATGCACATTTATTTATGGGATATATATGTACAGGGTGGGGCAGGGAAGTATCCCTAATTTTGAAGGTACATTAAAAGACAACCAAAAATGTTAGAACCAAACTTTATATTTGGATTAAAAGGTTACATCTGGGAGATTATTTTAATATAACTTTACTTGGTTTAAAACAACATGTCCTGCATGTGGTCTCCCTAATCGTAAATACACAGCTGTAATCTGGTTCTGGAGTTCATCATAACTCTGTGAAGCATTTTTTATGGGATGCGGCCAACTTCAAGGTGAATTGCATCCTTCAAGGCATCTAGGGTCTTCCCTTGAACTACCCTAGCCTTAGCATTACTCCAATAGAGCATATTCTACTTATTTACAGCTTTGGAAATATGGAGGTGTGCCTCGTCACCAAACAAAATCCGAGCAGCATAAGGCAGTCCCACAATTAAGATTTCACATGCCTGCATTTGTTGTTGCCAGTCTCGTTGTGTGAGTTTTTGAGAAACAACCATCTTTTATGGATGGAGGCGTAGGTCCTCATGGATAATACGAGGCACAGTACGATTAGACATCGCCAGCGCGGATGCATGCTTACAAGCAGAACGTTGAGGAGACTGCAAAATCGATCTTCAGCATGTTTTTAGGAGTCCGGACGGTTATTTGAGCTCCAAA